GCAAGACACGGCTCTTCCAGAAGCCGGTGCACAATCCCTTCCTTCCCTCTCCCCACGGCAGGGACACCTCTGTGGTGCTGGCCAGGGGCTGGGTGCTAGGCCCGGCCGAGAGCAGGACCAGGAAGGGTCTCTGCTCCCACCTCAGGGTCCGTTACAGGTGAGGCAGGAACACACGTCCGTGGCTCCACCAGACGAAGCAGAGATGAGAGGGGTTTGAGGGCTGGGAGGGACCTTGGGAGACAAGGCCATGGCAGGTGGGTTGACCTTGTCCCGGCACAGCCCAGGCTAGTGGCACTGGAGTGGGGCTGGCACTGGAGGGGGGCTGGCACCTGGTCTCTGGGCCCCTCCCAGACACACCACTGCCCTTACTCTGGGAGATGAGGCAGCACGTGGGCCACAGGGCCCACCCCGGTACCGGGCTGAGATGGCCTCACCATGGAACCTCCCTTCTGCCCGCGGCCTCCAGGCCCCGCGTGCCGACCCCTGTGCCTTTGTTCCCAGGCTGCCTCCTGACTTTTCTGAGTCAGGAAAGAGCCTACCAGGTGAATAAATATTTAAAGCAATCACTGCCCCACAAACTAATGTCTGGACTGAATACATGGTTCCTGCCAAGTGGATGCAGTCAAATGAAAATCCAGAGGGTTTGGGAAGTTGATAACATGGACCTGCAATCAATCTGTGGGAAATAAAAATGGCAATGATATTTTTTAAAAAATAAAGAGAGAATTAAAGCAACCAAGAGGAGGAAGAAGTCCTTAATACGCATCACATAACAAGAATACAGTGGGGCCTTGACTTACGAGTTTAATTCGTTCTGAGACCGAGCTCGTTAAGGAGCTGGTTAACTCAAATCACTCTATCAACTCAATGCAAAAAACTGGCCGAGAGACAGCTGGTATCTCAAAAAACTCGTTAGTTGGGACACTCGTAAGTCAAGGCCCCACTGTACTTAGAACTGTGGTACTGGCACAAGGATAAGCTGGAATTAAGTAGACACAGAAGCCTAGTATGTGGGCCTAGGTGTGCGGAAATGTAGTTTGATAAAGGAGGTATCAGGAGGCAACAAAATAAAGTGCTGGAGGGTGGGAGCGAGGTGTGTGACCTAAGAGGACCCAACCCTTCAGCTAGTTGCTCTGGAACACTGACATGTGGCTACCCACTGGGGCCAGGTGCCCTCAGGGTCAGCAGGCACCAGCCGTCTGGACAGCAGCAGGCGGGAGCGACGGAGGCCCTGGATCTCAGAGGGCAGAGTGCCGCCGGGGAGCGGTCCCTGCTCTGGACTGGCACCTCAGCTTCTGTACCAGTGGCTGTGCTACTTCCACTCGGGTCCTCTTTTGGGTCCGGGCCCTCCTTGGATCAAAGGGGAGGAGACTTGCCTGGCCAGCGTGGCTCAGTGGTTGAGCGTCCACCTATGAACCAGGAGGTCACGGTTCGATTCCCTGTCAGTGCACATGCCCAGGTTTTGAGCTCGATCCCCAGTGTGGGGCATGCAGGAGACAGCTGATTAATGATTCTCTCTCATGATTGATATTTCTCTCCCTCTTCCTTCCTCTCATTAAAAACAATCCTATCTATATAAAAGGTCAGGACCATAAGCATAACGATCTCTGAAATCACTTAAAAAAATTATTTTAAAAAAAGGAAGGAAATTGAGCAAAACCAAGACTGGCCACAATGGGCCTTTCTCCCCAGTGTCTGGACAGGTGCTGCTCCCTTCACCCCTCCCCCCAATCCTCTGTGGAGCCCATGTGCAGACCGCTCGCAGCTTTCCTAGGGCCGAGCTGTGCTGAGGGGGGTCCGCACACTCTCACGACCAGAAGCAATGACGCCTCTTGAGAAGGGCTGTCAGACATCCTACCAGGCCAATGCCTGGCCTTCCCCATGATTCATGGCTGCTGCAGAGCCAGCACCCCACATGGCGCAGGGGCCAGGCCCGGGGCTCCCTCCCAGGCCCCCCTGGGAATCACAGCCTGCTCCACGTCACCGTGAATGTCAATGCGCTCACAGTGCCAAACGGGCCAAGACAAACCCGATGGGTCTGGTTTAGGGCTCGGTGCCAAGGAACACACAGCTGATGAAGCCACACACAGATGGGCTGAGGTCATCGGCTCTTCCGCGTCTCCATGGGCTCCTTCCTGGGGCGGCCTCGAAGGAGAGAGAAGACCTGGGCCAGGCCATCCAGGCCGTCGGATGAGCCCTTGCAGTTCCCAGCCAGGAGCTGCCCCTGCAAAGCGGTCTTCGGGTTGTTGACACATCAAGTGGACGGTTGGTGTGGAGACAGCTGTGGCGCCCAGGACACGGGGCTCTGGGGCTCCTGGGCCGTGAGACAAAAGGGTGTGAGGAGGGGGCAAAGGGCATGGCGGAGGAATGCCCGCTGTTTGCAGACCCCATGGGAACGGCCACCCAGTGGAAATGACCGAAGATGCTGTGAGGGTGACTGGTAGTCTCTCAGATCGGAATGGGAAAGGGAGGGGGACAGTTTTACTTAGGACACTCCCCCCCGCCCCCCAACGCCGAGCTGAGCTGAGCGTGATGGAAAAGTCCAACTTCGTTCTCATAGGCTAAGGCTGCAAAGCGGCCCAACACGCTTCCTAAGTTCATTCATTCTGCACCACGTAACTGGGGTTCAACTCTAGGACGGACAGCCTCCGGAGAGAATGGTGGTGGATGAAGAGATGCCGAGGAATAGTCACTCAAGAACAACATTCGTGCCCGGATGCGGTGGCTCAGGGGTTGAGTGTTGACCTATGAACCAGGAGGTCACGGTTCGATTCCCGGTCAGGGCACATGCCCGGGTGGCGGGCTTGATCCCCAGTGTGGGGTGTACAGGAGGCAGCCGATTCTCTCTCATCACTGGTGTTTCTATCTCTCTCCCTCTTCCTTCCTCTGAAGTCAATAAAAAATATTAACAAAAAATGTTTATCAAATGTCTATTATGTGTCTGGGAACTAAAGACACCATAGAAAAAGAAAACAAAGACCCCTGTCTTCATGGGACTTACATTCTGATGGGAGGAGTCAGGATAATAAACAAAACAGTAAAATCAGCCCTGACTGGTTTGGCTCAGTGGATAGAGCGCTGACCTGCGGACTGAGGGGTCCCAGGTTCAATTCCGGTCAAGGGCATGTACCTTGGTTGCGGGCACATCCCCAGTAGGGGGTGTGCAGAAGGCAGCTGATTGATGTTTCTCTCTCATTGATGTTTCTTACTCTCTATCCCTCTCCCTTCCTCTCTTTAAAAAATCAATGAAATATATTTTTTAAAAACAACCAGTAAAATCAATAAAAATATCTATTTCTTAAAAGAACAGCATTCCCTGAGCGCCTGTTGTGTGCCCGGCACTGGGCTGGGGTGCGTACTGAGTGGACAAGGCCGGCCACGGCCAAGAGACGCAGTGTCAGTAGAACCCAGGTGGACATTCAGAGGGGCGGCCCCGCTGGTTGCAGACTCCGTCACGGGCCTTCTTTGCCTCCGTGTCTCCTCCTCTCTTACCTGCTGCCCCACCTGCGCTTGGGGCTCCGTCACAGGCGTGCATGTCTGGGCTCTGCCCTCCGAGCGTGTGTGGGGAGAGGATTCTGTGCTTCTCCCGAGCTCTCCAGGCAATCCTGGCTGTGAGCCGGATCTGGAGCACCGCCTCGGGGAACCCGTGGCAGGTAACAGGGTGGCACCCGCGTGCTGAGAAGACGCGATGAGTCGCGGTCCCCTTGGTGGAAGGAGATGCAGTGCCCTCTGGAAGCTGCCCGGAGGGTGGCAGGCGTCCCTCCTCTGCGCTCCACTGCGGCCTGCACACCGTCCCTGGTAACCCTGGCTCATCCCGTCTCTGCTGCCGGACTCCGAGTTCTGAGATGAGGATAGCATTGCATCTCCCTCTCCCTGGCGTTTGGGAGCAGGCGGGCACACCATCAACAGTGCTGCGGAGGGACTTCCGTGTATTCCCGCGTCCTACTCATGGGGATAAAACCTAGGCAGGGAGACATGCATGTGGAATATATCGAGAGAGAGATCCAGAAGCACCCTCCTGTCGGGGTGAGGCTACCAAGGGCGGTCTGGGACAGAGCGGCCTGGCTCCGGCTGCAAACCGGCTCCGGCTCGCTGGGGGAGCACCCATGTCCCCGTTTTCTCAAGCGCCCGGGTTGGCTTTGGAGGAGCAAATGTGAGAAATAAAACGCATCGCGATGGGGCTTGCAGGGAAATGTCCGGGATTCTCAGACACACCCTTTAAGTCCTTAAAAGCAAAACCTCGGGCTCCCTGAAACCTTACTTTTTAAATAAGGCTCCTCCCCTTTTCCCCCCAAACCCCACCCCACCTGCCTGCTTGTAAGCAATGCCTCTGAGGGGCCACAGTCCAGGGACCATTAAGTAACCGAGGGTGGATGGAACCTTCTCTACCCTGAAGGCATTCAGGAGCAAAAATAGGAAAACCTTTTGAATTCTGTATGTCAGCTAAGACATTAGAAAAGCAGAAAGTTCTCCCTTCCACGTTGCTTTACTTTGTAAAGGTTTCAGCGTGTGTGTGTGTGTGTGTGTGTGTGTGTGTGTGTGTGGCGCCCAGCGTGCTTGCCCAGGGGACTGACCACGTGCGGCCTGTCCTGCGCTACCAGCTCCAATCCCCAGCACAAACAGAGCTCTGCCGCCACCTGGTGGCGTCGTCGGAGGCTCACAAGAGGGATGATCTGTCTGCTCATGCTCTAAACCAGCGGTTCTCAACCTGTGGGTCGCGACCCCTTTGGGGGTCGAACGACCCTTTCACAGGGGTCGCCTAAGACCATCCTGCATATCAGATATTTACATGATGATTCATAACAGTAGCAACATGACAGTTATGAAATAGCAACAAAAATAATTTTATGGTTGGGGGTCACCACAACATGAGGAACTGTATGAAAGGGTCGCGGCATTAGGAAGGTTGAGAACCACGGCAACGAAATCCAAAAACACCCCAGGAGCCCACACAAGGGTGGTTGCTTTAGGAAAAGATGAGAGTAGGAGATACTGCTGCCTTTTTATTTAAATAAAAAAAAAATTCTCCAGTGTTTCACATCGACGTGGTTTCAAAAAGACTTTGGGTCTTTAAAAGGAAGGCTGCCCGTTTATTTTGCCGAAGGGAACAAATTCACTTTGAAAAAAGCCTCAACATAAAAAGCTGCCTTTAATAAAGCCCCTGTCACAAACAACCAGGTTCCCCCTTCAGCAGTCGATCTTTTCGATTTCGTCCATGTCTTCCGGGTTGAGCTGCTTAATGCTGCTGTCTGAAAGAACAAGGGGGCACGCCAGCCTGACCCTGGGCCGCACGCCATGTCCCCCCATCCCGGTCCGGGACCACTGCAGCACTGAGGAGGGATGGCACCTCGACTCTGAAGACGGGCACCCCCGGGAAGGTGCGCTCCTGCGACACCCTGTGTGGAGAGCCTGGGGGCAGGAACGCTCTCTAGCTCAGGGGAGGAGGGGGTGGCATCTAAACAGCCACTGGGACCCCCTGAAGCAGCATCCTAGGCACCAGGCAACAGAACGCCAGGTCTGGGGTTGGGGGGGGACTGGCAGAAAAAGGCCGTGGCCCATGCGAGGGGCGGGAAGGGGTCTGCTGAGCCCCAGGGGACAGTGGGTGGCCACAGGGAAAGGGAGGGACTAAGGCTCCTCCGCTGAGTCACTTCTCCAGATGAGGTCTGCAGGAGCTCACACAGCAACGGTGGATCTGAATGGTTCTCCCTGCCCCTACCCTAACACAGGGTGCTGAGTCAGCGTCCCTGAAGGGTCCACGGATGTGCTGCGGCCAGTCTGCAAACCCTTTATTGTGTGTGTGTGTGTGTGTGTGTGTGTGTAATTCCCACCTGGGAATGTTTTCTTCCATTGATCTTTAGAGAAAGAGTAGAAGGGAGGGAGGAGGGGAGAGTAAAATCAATGTGAGAGAGACACATCGACTGGTTGCCTCCCACATGCACCCCAACCAGGGCCAGGGATCGACCCTGCAATTGAGTACACACCCCTGACTGGAAATCCAGCCCGAAACCCATTGGCCCCTGGGCTGGTGCTCTGACCACTGAGCGGACCGGCCAGGGCCGTCGGCAAACCCTTTACACTTATATTCCAAACTGCACACATGTGCCTCTGTGCATGTCCCCGGGGGGTGCCCACTGCTTCTCACCGAGGGTCAGGGGCGCTGTCCTAAACGGTGAGAGGTTCCTCTTCCCCTGCTCCCCAGCGTACCCATGGGCTTTGGAGCCTGGGGGGTGGTCACTGACAAGGGGCCATTTCAGGTACATCACCCCTGGAGTTTCCTCAGAGGGCACCCTGCCAGCCCAGAGCTGGCCTAGTTGAGACGGGGCCGGGGGAAGGGCCCCCGACCTCAGAACGCAGGGCTGTCCTAGCTGGTAGGTAGGGCGAGAAAAAGGGAAAATGTAGAAGAGGAAGCCGGGATGGAGTACGCTCTCCACGGCGTTGCTACCTGGTTTAGGTTGGTTCTTTCCAGGACATGCAAATCCGCTCCAGACCCCAGAATAGCAATAGCGTCTAAAGACCTGAGCTCACACAGATTTAAAACGTTCTACTTAACGACCACGTGCGGAGTGACTGTCTCACAGCGGGAGCTCTGTGCATCGGAAGCCTCCTGTCCCCTCTTGTCCCCTCCTCGGGACTGGGGTCCACGCCCCGTGTCGTCACTGCCCCCAGCCCCACCCCGCTTCCTGCGAGTGACGCTACTCACTGAAGTGGTCCTGGATCTTCATGAGCAGGGGCAGCTTATCAACCTCGATCATGTTGAAGGCAAGGCCCTTTTTCCCAAAGCGTCCGGTCCGCCCGATGCGGTGGAGGTAGGTCTCATACTCTGGCTCCTCCAACTGGTTCACAGGGAGGTCAAAGTTCACCACAATCGTGACCTGCTTCACATCGATCCCTGGAAGAGGAGAGACAGTGGGCACCACAGAACAGGACATTCCCATCAGTACCAGCGTTTCTGTTAAGACAACTCTGGCCTAGAGAGTCCAGGGTCCAGGCAGGGACCTCATCCTTCCTCAGGCTACTCTTCCAAAGCGCCAAGCTCAGCCCCCGGGGCAGGTCCTCCGTTCTGCTGAACTCAGAATGAATTAGGGAGCAGGGTTTGAGGGCGGGGGGGGGGGGCGGTCTAGGCAAGGATACAGGAGGGATGAAGGAAGTCAGAAGTCCCTGCTCTTGAAAACACATAGAACGTCGTTAGTCACTAGGAACACAAGTTAAAAGCACGAGACACCACACAACGTCTCCCGGAAAGGCTAAAATGGAAAAGACAACACCAAGTGCTGACAGGAATGCAGAGCGACTGGAACGCTCCTACGCTGCTGGCGCAAATGAATAATGGTGCAGCCACTCGGGAACAAAACCTTGGCACATGCCTGTAAAGCAGTGGTTCTCAACCTGTGGGTTGCGACCCCTTTGGCGGTCGAACGACCCCTTCACAGCGGTCGCCTAAGACCATCCTGCATATCAGAGATTTACATGACGATTCATAACAGTAGCAACATGACAGCTATGAAGTAGCAACGAAAATAATTTTATGGTTGGGGGTCACAACATGAGGAACTGTATTTAAAGGGCCAGAAGGTTGAGAACCACTGCTGTAAAGCTAAACATACACTTCCCACATGACCCAGAAATCCTCGTCCTAGGTGTTTTGCCCAAGGGATATGGAAACATACGTCTACACAAGACCTACACATGCATGTTTATTACTGCCTTATTCAAAGTAGCCCCAAACCGGAAACCATCCAAATGGCCATCAGTGGATGAATGGATGCACTAATTGTGGTACATCCATTCGGTGGAAGACCACTTAGCAAGAACACGGCATGAACCACTGATCCCTGTAACGGCTCTGACAAACCCAAAAGCATTATGGCAAGTGGAAGGAGTGGGCCACAGGGCTGCCAAGTGTAGGATTTAATTTGTATGGTATCTGGAAGAGACAAGAGGGAGACCAAAATCTGACCTGTAGGTGCCAGGGGCCAGTAGTGGCGGAGACTGACTTCCAAGCAGCTCAGTTTTGAGGGGTAGACGGCCAATGTTCTGTATTTTGACTACAGCGATGGGTACAGGACTCTCTCTGTTTGTCAAAACTCATATATTGTAAACTGTACATTGTATTCTATGTATTGGACCATATACGTAAGAGTGAATTTTATCAGATATAAATTATACCTCAACAAACTTGGCTTTAAATACACACACACACACACACACACACACACACACACACACACGTACCTCGGGCACAGACATTGGTGGTTATAAGAACTTTCTCTTTCCCATCCCGAAACCTCTGGATGATGGAAGCCCGCTGATCCACGGTCAGCTCTCCGCTCAACAAAGACACCTGGTGGCCATCCTGCATCATCTCTACAGTCAACCACTTGGCGTTTCGACGAGTCTACATGAGAAAGCAGAGCCCGGCACAGCCCCCGAGTTAAAGCCGACGGGCTGTGTTCACCATGGGTGCGGTCCGGAGCCGGGAAGGGCTGGCCTGGAGGAATGAGCATGTGGCTCAGAATTCTGCGCTTCTAAGGGTCTCATCCTCTCATCCTCTCAGCTGTGGCTCCTCAGCCATGAAACAGATTCGAGACATGCCCCGCACATGCTGGTGCAATGACAACATGAGATGACGTAGTAATGACTACGTCAGACTCTCCAAGTGCTCCATGCATGCCGGGCATGTTTCTAAAATCTTTACCCGTGGCCTAGCTGGCAGTGGCTCAGTGGTTGAGAGTGTTGACTTATGAACCAGGAGGTCACGGTTCGATTCCCAGTCAGGGCACATGCCCGGGTTGCGGGCTTGATCCCCAATGGGAGGCGTGCAGGAGGCAGCTGATGGAGGATTCTCATCATTGGTGTTTCTCTCTCTCTCCCTCCCTCTCCTTTTCTCTCTGAAATCAATAAAAATCTATTTGAAAATAAAATAAAAATTTTACACACAATAATCTAACGAAGTAGGTATCTAATTTCATTTTTAAAAATTAAAAAAAAATACAAAACCTTGAAGACATGAGGACCCTGCCCCAGGTTCGTGGTTGGCCCGTGGCAGAGCTGAGTTTTCCTTTATCCTACAAACTTGTGGGCCAGGGCCCGGCGGGCACTCTAGGGCAGGGGCAGGGGAGCAGGACAGATGGGGCCCTGCTGTCGTGAGGCTCAGTGTCTACGTGGGAGTGAGGAAGTAAAACGAACATACACACACTGGGGATGTCAGGGAGCAAAAGATAAAAATGAAGACAGAAGGAGCGTGATGTGAGCAGTGAGGAGCTGAGTGGCTGCTTCGCTCACAGCAGGCTAGGGAGGGAGGGAGAACATTCTTAATCTGGCAAAAGGTGTCTGGGAAAACCCCACCATCAACACCAACCCACACGGGGGAGGGGCAGAAGCCACCCCTCTAACACAAGGATGCCCTCGCTGTAACACACAGAAGTCCCACCCCATTACTTAATCATTTCTACTCAGAGCTGCTCTGGACATTGAACTACACCATGTACAGGAAGTGCCGAGCACGGAGCCTGGCTACACCGCACTCTGGGTGCCGCCCTCCCCGCTCGGCCTGCAGTGAGGAGGCTGGGCCCCGGAAGGCGTCTCTGCAGGCACCTGGCAGAAGATGATGGCCTGGCCGATGGTGATGCCGCCGTAGATGTTGCACAGCGCCTGGTACTTGTCCTTCCGGCTCTCGCACAGCACGTAGTACTGCCGGATGTTGTTCAGGGTCAGCTCCTCTTTCCGCAACTTGATAACATTGGGGTCGGGAATGATTCGCCCCGCAAACTGCCACACGGAGTCCTCAAAGGTGGCCGAGAAGAGGAGCATCTGGCACTCGGAGGATAAAGCCCTGTGAGAGGGACGGGAAAGAAGCTGTGACCTGCCACCCATGCTACTCACCCGGGGAGGCAGCTCTGAGAGCTTCGTGCCTGCTGCCACCAGCGCTGCCCACCGGCCCCCTCCGCCGCCCACCCCCACACACACACCTGCTCAGGGGGTCAGTGTACAGGTGCCTACAGCCAGCGGCACCACCATGCACAGAGCAACGCGTCCTGCTCCCCCTTGCCACCCGGAATTTGGAAAACAACGTAGACTGAGCGTGAAGCTCAAGGGCAAAATTTTTTTAAATATATTTTTATTTATTTTTTTTTTTTTTTTTAGAGAGAGAGAGGAAGGGAAGAGGGACAGAGATAGAAACACCGATGAAAGGGAAACATCGATCAGCTGCCTCCTGCACGCCTCCCCAGCCGGGGATGGTGCCTGCAACCCAGGCATGTGCTGTGACAGGGAAGCAAACCAGCGACCTCTTGGTGCAGGTCAATGCTCTACCACTGAGCCACAGCAGCTGGGCTTGAGAGCAAAATTTACACGTGCTTTCTATCCATGCATGGCGTCCAGCTCTCAGCAGCGGCCACGACTAACTGCGTTTGCAGCAGGAAGAGCCCAGCCAGACACTACAGGCAAAGTCGGAACTAGACTACTAGGCTCCCGATCCCAGTTATGTCTTCTCTATGCCCTTACCTGCCCACCGCAACCTTCCAGTAGCTCTATCAGATTTCAACAAATTCTCTTTAGGACTTTGCTCCCAATTAAAAAAAAAATTACTGGCAAATTCTGGAGCAAAACCATGTCTATGGATTGATCTATAACGTAAGCCCAGGGCGCACAAGGAGAGCAGTCAGGAAGGAAGGTGGGAAATGACAGCAGCCGGAAGGCCCTGAGGAGGCAGGAACTCTGTTCGAAGGTGGAGGTGGGGAACCGAGCAGTAAGCCAAGCAGGAGCAGCAGACAGAGGCAGTTTCTCCTCCGGACAAAAGACGCAGGGAGGGAAGGTGGAGGTGAGGATTACCTCTGGATCCGAATGCTCTGATCTGAGAACCCTTGTGTGGCGATCATCACGTCTGCTTCGTCCAGGACAAACACACGGATCTTGCTCAAGTCAATTAATTTCCGCTTGAAGTACCAGTCCAGGACAGTCCCGGGAGTGCCGATGATAATCTGCTGGGTGATGTCCACGCTCCTGGGAACTGGGGGAGGAGGGATTGCAGGGTTCCTTCAGAGGCACAGCCCACGGCGCAGGGCAAGGCCACACAGGACTCCGACTCCACGTGCATCGCCTAAGCCCTAAGCGCAGTGATGGCGAACCTTTTGAGCTCGGCGTGTCAGCATTTTGAAAAACATTAACTTAACTCTGGTGCCGTGTCACATATAGACATTTTTTGATCTTTGCAACCATAGTAAAACAAAGATTTATATTTTTGATATTTATTTTATATATTTCAATGCCATTTAACAAAAACAAATCAACCAAAAAAATGAGGTCACGTGTCACCTCTGACACGCATGTCATAGGTTCGCCATCACTGGTGTCCAAGAGCGAGCCCTGAGGTCACTGTGTTTTTGAAATGCCCAGAGTTTTTAAATATGTCCCCGAGTTTTATGGTAATGATAATACCCTGCATATCTGATTCATTTAAAAAGCCACCCGCGGCAAGCCCACCCACCCTGCAGAAATACTGGCACAGCTGTGAAAACCCCACACGCACCCTCTGCATGGAAAACCACCACCGTGTCTATCATTAGGTCATGTGTAATAAATGATGACGTATTATGCAGCTGGTCAAAAGCATGAAGTAGGGTGACATGGACTGATATGGAAAGATGCCCAAAACATGGAAGTGTGCGACTGTTATGAAAAAAATATCCCGGTTTTTGTAAACGCTCTAAAAAAAACCCCAAAAAACACAAAACAAAGGTCAATTGCCCGGCTGGTGTTGCTCTGTGGTTGAGCATCAATCTATGAGCCAGGAGGTCATGGTTCAATTCCCGGTCAGGGCACAGGCCCAGGTTGGGGCTCACTCCCCAGTAGAGGGCGTACGGGAGGCAGCTGATCAGTGATTCTCTCTCATCATTGAT